AGCACTTGGGATGCTGGGGCAGGAGGGCTGTCACCACTTGAGGCCTAAAAAAAGTTACAACAAAAATAGTATTTCTGAAGTAAATATTGAGGTAGAAATAAGCTTTTCCCCTTATCCCTTAATGTTACCAATGGAATCTAAAACTCCAGCTGTTTTAAGTCCACCATCATTTGCTTTAAACACATACAGATAAGTTCTTCTTTGATGGCTGGGATGTTTACTCCATTCCTCTTCACCTTGAGCCTGTTTCCAACCCCAGTTTGCCCACATAATGTTATCCTAACAGAACTCACTTTCATGCCTTTTGCTGATCACTTCATCTGCCACAAAAAAAAAAAAAAAAAAAAAAAATATGCTCCTGCAAACTAAAAGATAAACTTGCTTTCATTTATAATAATCACAAGGCTGTAAATGTTCATTTCTTTCCAGTTGAAGTTATCCTTAGTGATGATAAAGTTATCCAACATGGAAAACACAAAACTTGGGGAATGAATCTCTTATAAGGATAAGTAGGAATTTTCCTCAATTAGTTCAGTACTAGAGAATGAACACATCTTGTTTGCTTTTTGAGAGAGAGGTCTCACTATGCAGTCTAGCCTGGAACGTGCAGAGATCAGCCTGCCTCAGCCTTCCACTGCTGGGATATGTGAGCCCCACCACACCTAGCATGTCGCTGATATCCAAAGATCCACCAGACCAGCCCCTGAGAGAGGTGGAGGGGGTAAGATCAGGAATTCAAAGACAGCCTGGGCTACATGAGACCCTGTCGTCATCAACAAAAAGCTTTTAGAAATCAACAATGAAAAGAAATAACCACAAAGAAGAAAAGGAGATGCAAAAACCAGCTAACAGAATCAGACACAAAGGTGAACTGTATGCACACACACTTCTGTCTACACCAGAGGTTCTCCCTGGGTCGCCACCCCTTTGGATGACCCTTAGATGTCCTGCATATCAGAGATACACATTACGATTTATAACAGTAGAAAAATTAAAGCTATGAAGTAGAACAAAACAATTTTATGGTTGAAGGTCACCACACATGAAAAGCCATATTAAAGGGTGGCAGCATGAGGAAGGTTGAGAATCCCTGGCTTACCTGGCTTATAGCCACAGCTCCTGCAAGCCCCACAAAGCTAAAAGCTGATTATTGGCCTGGTGTACAGCCTTACTTTCACACTCCGGGGAAGGCAGACAGACTGGGGTAGTAACTCACGGCCATTTGCCAACATCAAGTAAATGTTTATGTGGGTATATCCTCTGATCTAGAAAATCCAGTTTTAGAAATTTTAGATCATTGCAGAGATCTACATATAAGGGTCTTTACTGAAACACTAAAACTTGTGAACCCTCTAAATGTTTATCCACAGGGGAGTATGCAAACACTACGAGCACTGTGATCTGCTATGAAGAGCAGTCTAGATTTAAATATTTGGACACATAAAAGTGTCAGATACATGCCTTCTGCCTCTGATTTCTGACTGTTGGGATGAAGATGTGAACTACTTTGCCAGCTTGGATACTTTGCTAACAAAGCTGGAAAGTGATGTGCTTCTATAGTATTTGAACTTGTTTTACAGTAGGATGCATTCACTATAATTTACATATGTGTAAGCATGTATGTAGAACCTGGAAATAAAAAGGTGACCTTAGGATTCTACTCTTACCTTCCCACCCCAAGCTGCCTTTACTTAGACAGGGTCTCAGGCAGCCCAGGCTGGCCTCAAACTCACTGTGGCCAGGATTCCAAATATTCAATGTTTCTCGCTTCCTGACTCCTAAACACACACCTGCATGGCCACTCCTTGAGCTAGTTAGACAAGACCACCCCCTCTAAGCCCCCAGACTCCTGTGGTTTCAGTGAGCCCAGCGTGGAGCCATGTAGGACACAGTTCACGCATGCCGCTGGTTCTTTCCTGAGAGTTGATCATCTTTACTTTTGATCACTGTTAATGGCCACACACTCAGCTCCAAATTCTCTTCTATCCCCTCAGTGTAATTCTATTCTCAAAACACTCACATATATGTAGTATTAATTTAGTTTTACCTACTTGTAAAAATTCCAGAACCAAATGCTATACCCGGGATCTTTAATAGCTTTCCACTTTGTCTTTAGTTCTCTCTCCCATCTCTTTCCTTTTTCTTTTGATTTATTTTATTTGTTGGAGGTAGGGGCAGGTGAATCTCTGTGAGTTTGAGGCCAGCCTGGTATATACAGCCCAGACTTTGTTTCAAAGAAAACAGGGCACAGAGGACTTGGGTTCAATTCCCAGCACCCACACAGTGGCTCAAACTGTCAATACCTCCAGTTCTGAGGGATCCAATGTTCTTTTCTGACCTCCATGGATACCAGGCACACATGTGGTGCACAGAGTTACATTTAAGCAAAATACTCAGACACATAAAATAAAATAAATAAATAAATTTAAAAATTCGGCTGGGGAGATGGTCCAGTGGTTAAAGTGTGAGCATCTACTGGATCCCCAGGGCCTGTGCGATGCTGGTTGGGCATAGCGGCCCGCCTGTCGTCCCAGCATAAGGAAAGCCGTGACAGGGTGCCTGCACTAGCCACATCAGGGAGCCGTGGGTTCCACTGAGAAAGCCTGCCTCAATATGTAAGGTGGAGAGCAACAGAGGAAGACTCCTGGTGTCACACAGACACAGGAACTTGCACACACGTGCACCCTTACACATACACACATGCAAACACACCACACACACACACACACAAATCTAATTAAGATAACTAAGCTAAACAAGACTTGTGTGTCTTCTGATCAACAGACCTCAGATCCCCAAATCTCCTGAGAGTCAGGGTTCTGCAACACAGCTTGCACTTTACAGACCAATCTAGTTCTGTCCACACCATCAACGCCTCCTGCCCCAGTGCTGACTGTCTCTAGTTCAGGCCTCGGCTTCTAAACTCGGGACTCTGTTCAGCAACTTTCTCCTTAGTGTCTTGCTGGGCTCTCAACCCCCATAAGTTCAAAAGTGGATTTGTATTGTTTCTCTTCATCTGGGCCTCAAGTCCATCATCATCTTCCCTGATGATTTCCTGAGCCAGAGGCTATGAATCATCCTTTGCACCATCCACTCACCTTTCTCACATCTACCAATCACTAAGTTATTCTTGGTCAACAGCCGATACATATCCTGCAAACAGCCGCTGCTCCCACTGGGCTGTTCCCCACTGCTCCCAAAGCCTCTTCACACTGCTGTCCACTCGTGACCAGCTTCTTCCCTTTAATTAGTTCTCTTAGGATCAAGGTGAACTAAATAACCTATTTGTTATTTAGGTCTCTCCTAAAATCCCCATGTTCCAAGATTTGTCTTCATTATTAAATGTTTGTTTACTGTATTTGTGTGTTATGTGTATTCCTGTGTACAAGCATGTGGAGGCGGAGGGCCTGGACTTCTCTCCTATCATGTGCGTCCGGGGATCGAACTCAGACGCTCGGGCTTGGCAGGAGACACTTTTGCCTGTTGAGTCATCCTGCCAGTCTGTATGATGCCTTTTCTACTCTCCCAAGCTCAGCAGTCTTCTGTGTGTTGTCTTATCTGGCTGCTTCTTGTCACAGCTGTATTATAGGAGGTGACTGGTTTTTCTATTTTGCTTTTAAGACTTCTTTTACGTATGTGTACATCTGTGTGTACATAGGTGATGTGCACACATCGTGTCCATGAAGATGCTCGAGGAAGTCACGTTGATCCTAGAGCTGGAATAGCAGGCAGGAGTGAACCAACTCTGTAGAGCTGCACGTGCTAATGACTGAGTCACGTCTCCAGGCCAGTGACTATTTTCATATAGCGTGGATGTGGTTGCTAACATTGGTCTTCTCCACTTGAATGTATAAGCCTAAGTGAGAGCAAGAACTTCTTGGGTACCCAACTATCAACAGCGTACTTGATATAAAAAACATCCGATGAACTAAGTAATAAACAAGCGAATCGTATGGTATAAAAAATTCTTCTTAATGTGATGTCAGAGGTGACAGAGCGTGTACCCTGTTATGATATACATACTATGTTTTAAACTATATTTTAGATTCTGTTCAATGTTACTATAGACTCTCAAAGACATTATTAGGTCAACTGTATTAATGTATTAAAATATTTAAAACTGAGAACACACATCTTTGCCATGCCTTCTGGCTCATTTTACTCTTGGAGGGCTTGAATACACAGGAGAAAGGAACAAACGAATGGACACACAGATGGATGACATGGACACAACTATTTTGATTATTTTCAGCCAAGTGCTAGTATCTGAATTCTCTTTTGATCTCCTAGGACCCAAAGCATTGGATGAATTTACTGAGGCATTCATAAAACTGTCATTCTTGAAATATGCAGAACCAGCAAAGTTCTCAGTTTTCCAGATGCCCCTGCTTGGTATCACACCTTTGCATCTGGTTTAGGGTTGCCTCTGCCACCTTCATGCTAGGGAGAAGACACTGGACAGATTATTCAGGTATGCGGGAGATGGATTCCTACAGTTTCTCAGGTAGCATTGCTGGGCTAAATACTGTATGGCACAGTGGTCCCATGTTACCTGACTCCCCCCATGAACGATGTGGGCCCCAAGGGCTAGAATGGACAAGTGCAACAAGTGACATAGTTCAGTCAAATAAGGATATCGCCACGAGGCCACTTCCTCTGCAGAAGCTCAGCCCACCGACATGTGTACCAGACTAAACTCAGCTCAGGGCAAAGCGGGCATGGCTGTTCGCTTTTGAACCCTATTCAATGGGAGGCCTGCCTGCAACACAGATGAGAAAAGTAGATAGGGGAAAGAGTTGGATGCTACCAGCAAAGCCCCTGGACCTCAAAACCAGCTAGAGTAGTAGCCATATTTCAGAATTTTGGCATTAAATTAAAGCATCTCTACAATTCTTACTTTAAGCCTTCCTGCCTCTGAGTTCTTCCATGCTGATCTCTCTATTCCCTCCCAATTCTTGTTTTCAGATGTGGCTGCTCAAACCTCTAAGGTACACATTTTCCTGCAGCCAAAATATAGGCTTAGACCAAGCCCTCGACCTCATCTAATTTCAAATTCACCTTTTTATCTGTGGCATTGAATTGGGGTAAGTCTCACCCCTTCATTTGGTGTCTGGCATGAAGCGCATGATGTCCATAGCATCCATGGACTAACCCTCTGAAACTCTGAGCTCAAACAAACCTTGTCTTGGGTTGTTTCTGCGCTAATGTGGTCTTCAGTGACATTAAATCAGAACACAGTCTGTCTGTTGGTCCCCAACTGAGTTCCCCGGCAGGATCATGTTCTTTCTGCAATCAATAGGATCACTAATGATGTTGTATTATTTCTGATTATTATATATGTCCACCAAGGACAAAGGCCTGCTTCTATTGAAGATATCGGAGGCAAGGGACACAAGTGCAGAGAAAAATTCTCAAGCAGAGAGGCGACAGCACTGATGCACCAAGAGAGCACTCAGAGTGAATGCGTGCAGGCTATGCTCCAACCACTGTGAGGAGGACACTAGCTGGAGCAGTGTTTCCTGAGCCACTGTGACTGCCAGTCTCCATGCTGGGCCTTTGCGTTAGATCTTAGTACTCACTAGCTCCCATCCTGGACTCAAGAGCAGGCGCTTAATACCTAGCACACCTGGGCCTCATCCCACCTGACTGCCTCAGCCAGGCCTGCTGGACTCCTGTGCTGCAGGGGATTTCTAGTCAAGTTCATGCATGTCCTCTATTCTTCAGGGACATGGCCTTTCTATGGGAAATCTAAGAGGTATGAGCATAACACAGGAATGCATTCTCTGTGTTTTTTTCATGAAAAAAAGAACAGTAAGAATGGGTCATGTCAAAACAACAACAACCTACAAATCCACAAGACAATGAACTCTATGCATTTCCATTTATCAGCTACCTGGGTTTCTAGTGATCATGGGGGACTCAAAAGGGCAGTCTACTACAGACCTCTTTGCTGCACAGCTTGCTACCGTGTCAGCCTTTCAGTTCCTCTCTGGACTCCATACTGGAGTCACCCGAATACTGAACAATCCAGGATGCAGAGCCCTGGGCCACCCATCTGCCACTCACCAGCGCTGGGGTCTGTGGGAGTCTCGCCCTCCTCAGAGTCCTCTTGCTCCTGCATGGCTGGCCTCTCTCCGCGCTCCATCTGTGACATAAGGTCTGGTTTGGATATTGCATAGTCTGGGGAGAAGGAACGAAAGAAAATATCCTATGGTATGAGGTAGCATTGTTTGCTGTAAAGGTATCATCTGTGGGAAGTGACCCAGAAGAGCCCCTCTGCTGGGGGACTAGCAATGCTGGGAAAGAAAATGGGCAAGTGTCCAGCAGCTTTCTCCAGGACCCATTAGGAGTGTGTCTCATGCTGCTCACAGGTACTGAGCTTGCCCAGGAGCTACATGACAAAGTTGCAATTGTAAAAAGTAAAAACTTCATCCTCATAAAGCAGAAATTTCATAAAACAAAATATTGATAGAGTTCCTTATACTAAAAAAGGTTGCCAAGCATGATGGCTCAGGCCTGTAACACCAGCATTTGGAGGTGAAGCCAGAACTTCTGTGAGTCCAGGGCCAGCTCGGTTCACAGACTGAAGTCCTGCTCCAAAAAACAGAAACAGAGCCAGATTCGGGGGCTCACACCCTTAATCTCATCCCTGGGGACAACGCAGAGGCAGGCAGATCTCTGTGAATCCAAGGTCAGCCTGGGCTACATAGTGAATTTCAGGCTGGCCAAGGCTACACAATGAGACACAATCTCAAAAACAACCAAAAAAAACAAGAACAAAAACAAAACCCCAAACACATACCCATGCACCCCCCCACCCACCCACCCACCCACCCACCCACCCAACCAACCAACCAACCAACCAACCAATCACACAAAAAACAGAGACAGAGAGAGAGCGTAAGTGCTGGGCATAATGGCACACGCCTGTAATCCCAGCACTCTGGGAGGCAGAGGCAGGCAGATCTCTGAGTTTGAGGTCACCCTGGTCTACAAAGTGAGTCCAGGACAGTCAAGCCAAGCCTACACAGAGGAACCTAAAAAGATTAAAATAAATAAATAAATAAAAGCGAGAGAGAATGAGAGAGACCAAGAGCAGGCGAGAGAGGGGGTGGAAGGAGAGGATAAAGAAAGAAAGAAGTTACGGGCGGTTAGGGACTGGCAGGAACATGTGCTTAACATGTATGGACCCTAGGTTCAATTCTTGACACTCCTCAAAAGCTTAACATTATTTTGAGATAAAAAGCTGATGAAACACGGCAGAAATACAGAAACATACATATTTGTCACATACTACAAATGGTTAATAGTCATAATTAAAAACAAATATTTGCCTATGTTAACTACTCGGAAGGTAGAAGGATCAAGAGTGAAAGGTCAGCACATCCGAGGCCAGCCTGGGCTACCTGATCTTGTCTCAGAAAACACAAAGATATTAAAACAGATAAAGCAGGGCGTGGAGAAATGGTTCACGTGTCTAGGAGGCTCCATGGCCCGGCATCCTCTCCTCCACAACCTGCTTCGCATCTGTACTGCCCAACTCGGGGTCAGCGCACAGAGTCATAGCACTCCACGGTAGAGACAGAGGCACCCATGGCTCGGCAGCAATACAATCTGAGCTCAGGGGCCAGAGCGAAGTTTCAGGGGTCGAGAGCACTTGTTAGGTTGCCAGCACCCACACGGTGGACCCTCTTCAGGTCTCCATGGCACTAGGCATGCACGTAGTAACCAAATTTGAAAAAAAAAAAAAAAAAAAAAAAAAAAAAGTGGAAGTTTACCTAGATAGCGCACTTTCTCTCAAGGGCTGTGGTCTATAGCTGCAAGGTCCCGGTCTAACACGGGGCACTGTGAGCGCTGCCTCTGTGCAGGCTTCACACTGCATGTAGGACAGGCACACACTGCACACCCACGGAAGTGAAAAGGTATTGGAGTTACAATAGTAACTCCACATGTGGCTTTTGGGAACTGAGGTCCTCTGCAAGAGCAGCAAGTGCTCTGAACTGCCGAGACAGCACTCGCACACAAACAGCCCAACAGTGTATTCAACATTTAAACGTGTGTGCGCGCGCGCACGCGCGCGCGCGTGTATGAGCGTAAGCCTGTGTGTGCTCGTGTCAGGGTATATGCAGGTTGCTCGCCTGTGAGCACACACGGAAGACATTTTTTCATCGGGTTCCCTTTCACTGTCCTCTGCATCTTCTGAGACAGGATCTCTCCCTGAACCCGAAGCTGTTTTGACTAGACTGGCTGGACGGTAAAGCCCCAGGCACCTGCCTGTCCCTGCACCCCAGTACTGCAGTGACACCCCAGGGTCTGCTTTTACCTGAGTGGTGGTGACCTGAACTCAGGTTTCCCATGCCTGCACAGCAAACTCTTTATCTACTGACTCACCCATATCAAAAAATTCTACACACAAGACAAAAGATACACACTGGATACACCCAGTTTCCTATCCTTTCATGTTTTCAGTGAAACAAGAATCAACAGACTTCCTGATAGGAACCAGGACCCGGGGGCCACAGGCCTCAGTAAATGATAGTGCTCAGCTGACGACTAAGAAAACTACGTCCCTAATCTTAGCCTCAGCCTCTCACTACATGTTATTCTTGGGAAGTATTTCACACCTTGCCGGCACATAGTAGGTCCTCAGCACATTTGTTTTCTTCTAGTTATTGTTCCTTCTATAATCATAATTTGTTAGACAAATTACGTTTACAAGCAGGATGCATGGGGAAATGCTCTGGCGGTAACAGCCCACCAAGGTCTGGCCAGCTTTTTCTCTGCTGCCCCAAGTGTCTCCCTGGAGCGTGGTGTCTCTATGTATGGACTGTTCCAGCTTGTGCCACACTGATATACAAGACTATGTGAGTAGTTTTGTTTTGTTTTTCAAGACAGGGTTTTTCTATGCAGCCTGGCTGTCCTGAAACTCACTGTGGAGACCAGGCTGGCCTCAAACTCAGAGATCTGCCTGCCTCTGCCTCCCAAGTGCTGGGATTAAAGGCATGAGCCACCACTGCCCAGCTTGTGTCACTCCTTTTCAAAGAAAATTATTATTTTTTTAAAATTAATTTTTACTATATAAATTGGTGTTTTGCCTGCATGTATGTCTGTGTGATCGTGCTGATCCCCTGAAAATGGAGTTACAGACATTTGTGAGCTGCCACATGGGTGCTGGGAACTGAATCCAGGTCCTTTAGAAGAGCAGCCAGTGCTTTTAACCACTGAACCATCTCTCTAGCCCCAATTATTTTATTTTTAACTCCGTGTATATGTATGTCTGTGCACATGTAACTCCAGACACCTGTGAAATTCAGAAGCGTCAGATCCTCCTGAAGCTGAAGTCACAGGTAGCTTCAGGCCACTGATGTCACGCTTGGAACTTTTAACCACTGACCCATCTCTAGCCCGTTTGTGGCGCTATTTAAAATTGTTTGTAGGGCTGGGAAGATGGTTGAGTTGGTAAAGTGCCTGCCCTGTAAGAATGAGAACACGAGTTTGATTCCCAGCACCCATGTGAAAACTAGGTGTCGTACTGCCCCTCGGTAACCCTAGTGCTGGCAGGGAGGGCAGAGCGGTAGAGAAGGGAAGCACCGGCTCCAGAAGCACCCTGGCTAGCCAGTCTAGTCATCTCAAACACTACTGCAGAGTACTACAGAAGGCACTTGACCCTGAACTCTGACCTCCAGATGCACACATACCCACACAAAACAAGTAAAATTCTGTTTGTTTGAAGCCAGGTGTGATAGTGTATGTGTACAATCTCAACATTTAGTAAGTTTTTGACAGCAGAATTCTGAATTCAAGGCCAGCCTGGGCTAAATGGTTGTTTCAAGACAGCCTTACTCAACGGCAAAATCCTGTTAAAACCATCTGCTGGGCATGCTGGTACACGTCTATAATGTAGATGTAGATGTATAATGTAGAGGTGTAGATGCTGGAGGATCCCAATGAATTTGAGGCTAGCCTGGGTCTACAAAACAAGTTCCAGGCCAGCCAGGGTAGCCTATCTCACACAAAACAATCCATACATACAAACCCAAACAAATATCACCTCCCCAAACAACCAAATAAAACCAAAACCAAACAGAACATTTGCCTTTTTCCCACTACTGGAGCTACTGATGCTTAGATTCTCTACGTGTCTACAAAGCCTCACACTCAGGTCAGTCCTTTGTTCTTACCCATGGAGACTAGAGACTCATAGTTGCCCCTCATGACATTCTTATAGAGCTCCTTCTGCCACTCAGAGAGGTTTCCCCATTCCTGCTCGGAGAAATGGACAGCAACATCATCGAATGTGACAGGGACCTGAAACGAAACAACCAGGTCAGGAAGGACCAAAGCGACAACACCACAGACTGCGAAGCTCCAACTCCCTCTACAACACCACCGACTGCCAAGCCCTAACTCCCTCTTTAGAGAGGGCAAGCCTTCCTCCCTGCACTTGCTTGGGGGTGGGGACAGCTTTACCAACACCCTGCTGACATCGGACTACATTTCTGGCTACACAGTGGAGGACACATCTTGCCTGGGCCCTTCTCCAACTTTAAAACATGTAGCACCAGGAGCGCCAGGAAACCTGCTGGAAATGTAGACACTTAGGCCTCACCCTGGACATTCAGAGATTGGAATGTCTTTAGTGAGACCTGTGATGGAAGTTTTGGTTTCTTTGTATGTTATGTAAATATGTTTTTGTTTTAATCTCAAGTATGGGATTTTAATTGGGCTACAGTTTGTCCACACTTGTTAATTATCTTGTGTGGAGTATGGCTTTTGCCAGCTGGTAACGGCCTTCCATGTGCAGCAAAGAGAGGGGTGTGATCTAGGACTCAGGATAACTGTGAGGGTGAGAAAGAGAAGGTGGCGTTAGGTGTGGCATTAGGTGTTGGCCTGTGGCGTGTGGCCAACTGGAGAGACCAGAGACCAGAGACGGTGTGGCGGTTTGGAGCAGACAGACAGAGGGAAACTCCAGGGCGCAGCAGCGTGGAGGAGCCTGCTGGCTGTGTCTGTAGTTGGCAGGGATTGGTATAGAGCCCTAAAGAACCCCTTGACCCTAACTAGCCAGGAAAAGTAAAGCGGTCTGGGTGCCCTCTCCCCACTAACCTTTTCTCTTCTACTTAAGGTTGGGGGGTTGAAGCAAGGGAGGTAGAGGCCTAAACACGCCAAATAAAGTAGAGTTTTAAAAAAGAATGCTACAGGAGGCCTTCTGCCACAGGGATCCTAGAGTTCTAATATACAACGGCCTTCACGGGGAACTGGCTTACAGACTCTGGAACAAAAAGAAAACTGGTCTACACTCATGTTCCCTTAGAACTGTCAGGAAATAAGATTAAAACCTGTTTCTTAGCTCCTTAAGGATACTTCCTGAAATCAGTTTTACTGAAATTAAGGATTTATAAGTAAATTGACAAAAAAGTGTTAGCACAAAACCTAACAGTTAAATTATAATCTTCTCCCCATCCAGGCTGATGGTAAATCATTAAGTACTGCTCATAGGCACAACTGTCCCTTGGTACCTGTAAGGAATTGGTTCTAGAACCCTCAGAATCCTGAAGTCTGGAGATGCTGAGGTCTTTATATATAAAATGGTACAGTATTTGCATAAAACCCGTACGAAAACCCAGGATTTTAAACCATCCTATCATGGCGTGCAATGCCGCCTCAAAGTGAATGCTGGGTGCAGCTGTTATAACCTACCATTCAGGGGATGGCTAGAAAAAAGCACTCATGTTCACTGCAGACACAATTGTCTTTTTCCCAGTATTAACCCGAATGGCCAGAAACCAGCGTGTGGAATTTGAGTGTGAGGCAGACTGACAGGACAGGGTCTCTGCTGCTCTAATAAGCCTGCTACCTGCATCCCAGCTCAGGCTCTGGGAAGGGGTTCCTTGTCCCTTTCTAAATGGACTTTAGCACCAGTCTGCACTTTTACCAACAGGAGAAATAACTTGCTTTTGGTGTACCCTGCTCTTGGTGAAGCAATACTGGGAAGCAGGACGCCTTGCTTCTCGTTTTCCTTTCCCAAACGTCGCTTTCCCATTGTTTTAACTGAACTAAACCCCTAAGCCATGTTCCCCTGCATATGGGAAGCCTTGAGAAGCTTCCTTGGGGAGCCCCCAGTGGAATGGGTGTACCTTGGGAACTTCTCCATTGCTGCCTGGGGGCAGTCGCAGGATCCAGAAATTTCTGTTTTTCAGCAGGTTCTCCATGTTCTCCAGGCGCCGCTGCAGCAGCCCGTACTCCTGCAGCAGGGTCCCCAGCACAACCCACTTGCTCTCCAGATGGTTTGCAAACTCCACAGCCGTTCTCTCACAGTCGGCTATCTTCTTCTCATTTGTCCCTGTCCTGCCCTCCAGGGTCAGCAGCCGCATGGCCTGGGCCTCCAGTTTTCTTTCCACGGCTTGGACAGCAGCCCACACAGCCAAGCGAGTGATTTCTGCGGTGGGCAGCGGCTGTTCCTTCTGGGCTGCAGAAGAGGTATGGAAGGGAGTGTCCTTTTGCAAAGTGGGACTCTGGAGCAAGGGGTCCATGTCAGTCTCGGGAGCTGTGGGTGACAGAGTCAGCGAGTCTTTCTCAGGGCCTTCGGGAGAGCGGAGTGGGGCTTCCTGATGGTGGGTGGAGCGGGAGAGCAGGGGCATGCCCTGACCAGCAGCTGAAGGCGGGTACTGAGCTTCTTCCTGGGCAGCCAGGGTTACCTGATGATGTGCGTCTTGCTCAGAAGTGGCAGGATACAGGAATGAAGGTCCTTTCTGAAGAACATGTGACATCTGGCCGGAAGTCTCCTGCTTAGGAGTGCTGTCAGTCTGGGGCCGGGCTTGCGGAGGGGCAGTGGGAGACAAAGGAGGAATTTCTTTGGGGGGAAGAAGGCAAGAAGGGAACACAGTTTCTCTGGGGAGTCCAGCAGGGACCTGATGCACAGACTCTTCGTGTGGAACACTGGAGAATGAGAGAGGTGATGAATGTTCGTCCTCCATGTCCAGCTGCTGGACCTGTGTTCAAGGAGAGAAGGAAAGACAGGATTGAGGGTCAGTCTCCAGCTGGCAAAACAAATCTAAGAGATAAGCGTGCATGCTAAGAGGCCCTCAGTTTTTGCAGCAGAAGACACATTCCAAAGAAGCAAATCTCTTCCAGTAGTGGCACTGATCTAGACATCAATGATAAAGCCTTTAAGAACAACACATAAAAGACAGCTATGATGCCTTCTGATTTGGAGCCATCTCCCCCCTACCCCTGGCCCCCAACATGTTTCAGATGTGAAGAAGGAGTGCAGGAGGGGAAGGGTACGGGAAGAAATCAGAACACTCAGCTTCCGGCTCCATCAGCACCTACTGCAGCCCTTTTCACTATAGCTGCTTATGTGGCCTCTTTGTCTGGAAAGATTTGCAGAGGCTGGACGGGCTTGGGGCACGGCAACTGGCTTGTGCTCCAAGTAAGGGCTGGGGAGACATGGTGAGAGCAAACACAGGCAATTCAGCCTCCTCGGGAGCCTGGGTTTCCTAGGTAGATGGTCCACTGGGGCAGGTGTACATTGATGGGCTGAGCTCCTTCTCTATGGTTCTCGAGGTAGGGAATAAGGAAGAAAGGCCCGTAGTGACTGAAGCCAGGCCGACATTAAACTAGTTTTGAGTGTGACAAGAGTGTTGGGAACTAGAGGCAGAATAAAGATGAGTTTTCTTTTGCACTCTGATCATCATTTTGCCACATCCATGTTAAAATCTTCAACCACCAGGGAGGCGAAGCCACACTCTTCTGTGAGTGCCAAGTTCATCCACCTATACACTCAATACCTTTAGTGGATCTGAGCGGAATTTTTCTATGACAATTTTTGTTCTTTTCTTCATAATATTCCGTCTAGGAATCTACTCAGCTTCTATGCTTTCTATATAAGTGCTCGGTAAGGTAATTAAAGCTTGTTTTCTTCACTTGAAAATTAACATATCCCTTATATCCAGTTTTATAGCATATACTCAATAAATGCCTGTTGCTTGAGTCAATTGTACAATGATAAGTTAAAAGGGTTCCTTTTGCCATCTATCAAAGGCTTGTCTAAACCTCATAATTTGTTTAGCTGTCTTTCTTGCCTTTATTCATTGATTCACATACAGGTAACAGCACTAAAGCAGTATCCAACTTTTAAGCCAAGACTAAAGACTGAGACCCTGTCCAGAAAAGATCTTTAAGAAAGTATGAGCCATAGCTCTGTTTTGGGGTAGCTCATCAGCAAAGTAAATGTTTACGATATATTATGTACCATAAACTGTGTTAAGCATTTAAAAGGATTATCTCACTTAAGCCTCAGGAAACCTGATGAATCAGGCACTACTAGCATTATTATCCACATTCAGCTATGAAAACACCGAAAACAGGAGGCTGTGTGAAGCTGGCCTCAGGCCACTCAGACCCCAGAGTCTGACCTCCAGGCCTCAGTTATAGACAGAGGCAGCCAATAGATCTAAACCCTGAGTCAGAGGCTTAGTGATTAAACAGACCTATGTAGGCTTACTACAGGCATCCCATTGGGATGGAAGGTCTTCCCTATCCCTTACAGACGCTGGTTTATGATAGTGTCAAGAGGCCCCTAGAAAACCTAATGCAAACGAGTTCTCCTCAAAACACATACAGATGCATACTTATGCAAACGCAGAAAGGGTTCAAAGACCTGTTCTACATTGACAGCTCCCTTAGGTGGAAGCCTCAATCACACAGGTAAAGGAACCAAGACATTAGGTATATTAAGGCTGTCTTCCTGAGGAGGGACTACGATATTGGCCTACAATTAGTAGGAAGAGGGGGGAAAATACCTGGAAGGCAGGTTAATTGCCTGAGAAATACAGGGTTTTACCTCAAACGAAAAAAGGCTTCAGTATGATAACTAAAGCCAGAAGAGCAAGACATCTTTATTAACCAGATGAACCAGAGCTCAAAGAAAAATAGTATTTCTTGCTTTCTTCATTTAGGGATGTGGAGCACTGGAAAGAGATGAGGGGTCAAAAGGTGTGTCCCGTTCACCCACCACCTAAGTCCTGATACAGTAGTCATCAGTTCCAGTAAACCTTACCCTTTAGCAAAGACCTGAAAGGAGTAAGCTCAAATTCTCAGGCTACTAGCAGGTTAGAATTCTTCGGCGCCACATTTCATAGATTCTGCCTGTCCCCTACCCCGTGCGGTAAGTGAATGGGGGCTCCAGGATCCATGCCAACATCTAGAAACATGGATAACGACATACATCTGACTTCTTCAAAAAGCTGTGCCATTTTTCTTACATGACCCAGGATGGTTCCCTCAGAATTACATGCCATGAAAGGGTTTTGAAGACGTAAGCCTAGAGGTAGGCTTGTTTAAAAAAAAAAAAAAAAAAAAAATCTTCGTTTTATTTCCCAGGAGTTTTGTTATTGTTATTTTAAGAACTGTGAGGCTTTTAGAAACCCATCTATCCCACCCCTTCCTGTACACATAGGAACCGGGCTCAAAGGCACGGACTCCCATGCAGCAAACCTAGCACAGCCAGGGTGCCTCAGCGAGCACATTCGGTTTAATTGTCGAATGACCCTCCGGAGGGGCACGGCAACCTCTTACGGCCCCCACTCGCCAGACCCCATCTACCCGTACCCCAACTTGGACTCGGGGTCCTCCTGATGCAGAGGCCGTGGGTTACACGGCTGCCCACCCACCCCGGAGACACTGGGCTGGGCGCTGCCCGCCTTCCCCTCCTCCCCCGACGGGCCGCAGCCAGGGCTCGGCCGGCCCAGGCCGCCCACCCCGGTGGAGCCCGCCGCGAGCGCCTCCCCCTCCCCGTCCAGGCCCGCAGCACGCCGGGCAGGCCTCCGCCGGGCTGCGGGCACCCAGCCCCGGCCGACTCGCTACGTGACCTTGGGGCAGGCAGGGCAGATCGCCGCCGGGGGTCCGTGCCTCAGTGTCTCCGCTCTGCGAAATGGGAGAGCCGCGTCAGCGCCGCGCCCAGGCCGGGAGCCGCTCCGCGGGGCCGAGCTCTGCGGAAAACGTGCCGCCGGCCACCCCGA